AATTTTTTGAAAGGCCATCGATTTCAAAGCATTGAAGACATTCAAACAAATGTGATGCAGGCTCTGAAAGACATCCCGAAAGAAGCATTCCACTGCTGTTTCCAGCAATTGCAGCATCGTTGGGATAAGTGTATACGTTCTGGAGGGGAGTACTTTGAAGGCGATGAATGTGATTAATTTGTAAGTTTAAAAGTAAAAAATACAAAAATAAAGTCTGGAAACTTAATAGCCACACCTTGTATTCCTCCTTTTATGTTACATTAAGCCAGTAAACCAATAAAATAATGAAAGAGTGGGGTTATATGGAATGCAGAAGTAGCTCTCTATAGCCAAAAGTAGCAAGTTCTTATCACCTGAACTAAATTGGGGGGAGGGGTGAAATAAAAAATTTCCCACTTAGTAGGGGTAGCTCTTCACAATCTTATAATGTTTGTCTCTTGTGGACCTTCATATATATACCATATTTACTCATGTATAAGGCGCTTTTTTTTGTGCATATTTTATTGTGTTCGATGAGGGGGTGCGTCTTATACTCGAGGAAAAAAATTCTCTTTTTCGAGAAAAAAAATTTTCAGCGTACCTATAACTCATTGGTCACTAATTTAAGGCGGAAACTGTCTGCAGTCAGCCAGAACAGGAGAAATATAATAATTATAAAACAGTAAACAGGGAGTGGCTACGTCGATTCGCGGACTTCATTCAGTGTCGGAATCGGAATCTGAGGTGTCTGGCAGCGTGGAAAATTGATTCGCAGAGCTCACATCCTCCTCCGAGGGACCGTTCCAGAGACAGTAATTTCTCATGGAAAGCTGCTGACGTTTTCTGACGAACAGAAAATACCAACTTGCTTATGAATCACGTCATTCAACCTCATGATGCATTGAATTTTCTATGGGAGATCCCGTTTGCTCTTGAAATCGTATGGGTTTGCGTCTCCATCACTCTTGGTCACTCCCTTCTTGATTACTGGAAATGATTCCTTTTTCCCCACGAAAGGCCATGAGATTCTTTAGAGCCAGGCTTAATTTCGCCTTTGCCTTTCCAACTTTCCTCGATGTCATACTTATGACCTATTGCACGGATGCCCAACTCCTTTGCTTCCTGAATCGCATGGATTTCTCTGCAGCTGTGTTATTTCGCCTTATATTTCCATCCGTTTTTACGGATAATAAAACAAACGTTAGGGATACTGTGCCCCCACTCGATAAAGGTCAGGACAGTGAATAAGAAACGAGATTCGACCTACCTCAAGACCGGCTTTACCCCTTATTCATCTCCCTTGTCCGACACTTTTCGCTACAAAATAGGGGGGTGCGCCTTATACGCAGGGAATCTTTTTTTTACACAAATTGGGACCTCAAAAGCGGGGGTGCATTTTATACACGGTGGCACACTATACTGGAGTGAATACGGTATATAAACCCTTTTTTGCTGCAGGAAATTATGAATCATGAATTGGAACAGGACAGGTACAAACAGAGGTGAAGATTCCAATATTGAACCAATGCTAAAGAACTGTATCTGATTAGAGCCCCAGTTCAACTGTGTGCATTGGCAGTGAGTGTTTGGTCATGCTGACACAAGTTCCACCTCTTCAGTCTGCCTGAAAGCTTCATTCTTGGCGCTCAGTTATAATTGGTTTTGTAACCCTCAGAATCAGATCTGCCTCTTGGTCTCAGCTACGACTCATTTGCCTCATGCTGAACTTTTTCTCATGATTTTTTTTAAACCTGACACACTTGTTTATGCAGGAGTGTGAAAAAGGAAACTGTAAATGTGTTGGAACCAGGGTGTCAAGGTAAAAAAGCACTGGAATTTATAGATCCCTACCAGACTAATTTGAACCTTCCCAAGTAGCAAAATATCTAAAAGCAATAGTTTGGATACTCCCATCCGAGCCACTCATAAAAGCTCCATGTCTTGTTTAGGCTTTGTGGAGGTGGATTGGGGAATTTGTATCTGTATGAAACAAAATATATGCTTGATGAGTTGAGACTTGTTGCCAGGACGGCTGGAGTCTACACAGATGCTGAGGTGGTACGGCTGGCATATGAGAAGACCCTCAGACTGAGGCAGCTGTATGAAGAGGAGTTCAAGACCATTGAGCAACTCTTGAAGATTAAGAAGATGCAGTATCATCAGGATCTGCGGCAGGAGAGGGAACTTTATTGTAAGTTCTTACCTTCTTTCTGTTATCTTCCTTGCCATGGTGAATATTCATGACACGATTCATCCTCAATGCTTGAACTTGTGGCTATTAATGTATTTTGTGTTGTGAGGCAGGCAGCATCCATGACTCACCTAAAACAACCCTATCTGACGAGGAGGCATACAAAAAGTTGAAAGCGTTGAAGCGCTACCAGTCATATCATGGGGCTGATGCCCTGGTCCAACGACAGGCACATCTCCGGCGTACCCAGGTGAAACCTTTTAACCATCCTAATACCAGTCCACATTTGCACTTCATATAAAGTATGATGCACACTGACAGATGTGTTTGAAATGCTTCCCTGTTGAATCAATGCACTCCTTGTAGCAATCAGGTATATTGAGCTTTACAAAGGTTCTGGTGCATCTTAATTAGTTGAACAAAGTGAGTAGAGCAGAACAACCAAGGCATACTGGGTGAAGGAGTCATTCATTCACATATCACTTCCTGGGAATTGCCATTTGAGTTCAGTTCAAGCACTTCTGCTAGTATGCTTTGTTCTCTGTATGGAGTTGAAATGTGAATTTGAAAGGCTGAAGTTACTTATGTAGCATGAAATGAGTAGTTGTGTTCACCACCCAAATGAGATTTTTCTAACTTTTTTTCTCCATTGAATAGGTGAAGGATGGGTTGAACCTGAAGCCACAGTTGCATTCCAAGTGCTCGTACACAGAGGGAGGTGTGAAATGTGGAGCTCGCACCATCCCTCTAACCAAGTTCTGTCGCAAGCACATCCTCCATGTTTGTATTCAAATAATGTGGTACTTCAGCAATTGTGCATTAAGCCTATCTTTATATAACTTGTGACTAAATTGTATAGGACGGGCAGCAGCTTCTGTTTCGTGGGTGTGGTGGGAAGAGTGGTAGTGGGGATGATTCACTGGAAGAGTGTCGGGAACCTGTGCTGGGAATCTTCCCCTCTGAGGCCTGTGTTTATCATAGTGTTCTACCCTCTATTGACATCCATGAAGAGGTCTGTTGTTTTTCATTGTGCTATTTTATTTTCTGATGCTTCTTGGCACTTTCAAACTCTTCTATAACTAAAGGCACATTTGACTGAAGGGGAAATGTTTCACAAATACGAAGAGTGCTTGTGGCATCATCTATAGCTAATTTGGTGAGACTGGACATGACAAACCACTGAAAGAGTTATTTTTTGCATAGTTAACAGTGTCCATCTGCTGTTTCTATGTGAAGAACAAGAATGGAAAATTCATGAAGTCTTATCATTAAAATGCACTGATCTGGAATCAAAAAAGAAAAGGAAGCTTAAAATGGAGCAAGGCTTCATTTATTCACCTACCTATCCCCATCCAGGTTTTATTGAGAAATGACAAATGCCAGGTTTATCTCATGAAGTGAAGTGATTGCAGACATTTCCCATATTTGTAAAGGGAACTCTGGATGAAAGTCTCAATTAGTTATTTCTTAGAATCAGAGAGTCTTAATTCACTTTGGCACTGCAACTGTTTTTTTCTCTGGTAAGGAAGGTTCTCAGCACAATTTTTAAGTATTATTATGTCTAGTGATAGTGGTATTAAGAGTATTAGGAGAAATAATGCCTCATATAAGATACTGATGGACATCAAGTGAGAAAGTTTCTCTTCTTTTTCTAGCAATTGCACTTGGAAAATGGGGATGATGATGTTGTAGTCCCAGCTACTCCAGCACCATCTCCAGAGCCACCAGGAACCTCTACCGAAGTACAGGATCTTGTGGATACTGGAACCAACTTCTCTCAGCCTGGGCCCAGCTATCTCCAGTGAAACATGAGCCAAACAGAATACTTGCTTACTTCATTAGTTCATCTGTGATCACATCACCCTCAAGTACAAATTAAAGTTTCTGAGATTTTTTTTAAAATGAGAGTTCACTTAAAAGTGGCCTTTAATATTCTAAATGTCATATTGTCAGTCAGTCACTCAGGCAGTCATGGCTTCTCAAGCAGGTGGCATTATAGCTGAAAGCAGATCTACAGAGGCACATGATAGATTGACCCTTGTTGCTAGACTTGCAAGAAGCAGACAATTGCTTGGACTATTTTTTAGTTCTGAATGCCAAATAACCCAGAAGGGGTTTCTGAGAATGCCACAAAGTTTGAAGATATTCTGCAATGCTCCCCTGTTTAGGCCAGCCATATTGCTCAGAAAAAATGTCTAAACTGTTATTTGTTATCACATGATCCATAGCATGATTTTTTAACATTGCCTGCAAGTCTCTTCATGCACTGTATCCCAGGTCTCCTCAAGGAACTCAGTCCTCTCTTATGCCCCTAGTCTGAAAAAGTAGTGTTGGAATGTCAAGGCTCAATGTTCACCTTGCACTTCTCATAAGGCTTGTCAACCCAGAGTTCATCAGAGCCTTTGGGCTTGCAGCAGTTATCCAATCATGCTAAGATTCACAGTTTTGCTCATTCAGATTGATGTATGGTTGTTGTCTGTGTCAATGAACCTCCTCTCAATCTGTTCCTGCATGTTTTTCTTCTCATCCATCTTGAACACATGCAGACAGAAATAGCTACTTATTGGTTTAATTATTAAAAACTTTTCACACCTTTCAACCTGGAAAGTGCAGTATGTTACTAATGTGCTGCATGAGTTTCTGCCTTGAGTTCCAAAATGTTGACACATTTTGGAACTCTTCTTGCTGTATGTGTCTCAGCATATCCATTTCTGAGAGATTGCCAGCCGAACGAAGTCAGTATACTTGACATGTTGATAGTGCTCATGCGTGAAAATAATGTACTTGGGCAAGGTGGTCAAATTTTTCCTCGTGGAAGCTGTCACTTAGAAATGTCTGTGCTTGACTAGCTGACTGTTGATGTTGCTGAGATTTAATGAATGAATTGGATGGCAGCCCATACTGCACAGATGTGTTGCTTCAGGGCTGAATAAAGCCTAATTATAATCTTTGCTTTTTCATTGCTGGCAGTGTGGAAATAAAGCTTTTCATTACCAAATATTCTCCCAGGTACTCAGGTTATTTATTGGCTGTTTAAGCAAAGCAGCAAAGTTCTGCTAGTCTTTGCAAGTTTCCTTGGGGGCACCTTGAGCTGGAAATCTCTTTTCCTGATGAGTGGAGTACATCTGCTTGAAATTCATATTGTAGATGATAAAATTAATATAGCACCAACCTAATAGGATATGTTACGCTTGCATAACTGGCTTTGAAGTGGAGACAGTGTGAAAACGGGTCCATCTCTCTCTCTCTCTCTAGTCAGTTATCTCCCTTGATCTCTACCCTGGGGCTATACTAGAACAAATTCCTACTGCCTCTCTCTCTCTTTCTTTTGCTTTCTCTCTTTCTCTCTCTTTCTCTCTCTGTTTCATGAGAGAAGAGAGGGAAATGTTATAACATGGGCTTGGGGAAGAGGACAGGCAAGCTAGGAGGACTTGGGGTGATCCCCAGTAATATCCACCTTTCATGAACTTCAATTTATCAGATATACAAAGCTTATTTAGCTTGATACCATGGAAGTACATTGGATGGAAGGGAAGTAATCGGGGTGAAACCCCGGTGTTTAGGGGTGGCAAATTAAATTTGGTGGAAACTGCGTTCCAATACATATTCCGTGTGGTAGGGGCAACATACCGTTTCCATAATTCTAGAGGTTGACTTTCATAACGTACAGAACTCATAAATCGATTTGGCCGAGTAGCAGCCCGCTTCGGGTTATCAGTCAAGTTTGACAGTTTTCATCATTTGTAGAGAGGGAACCATGGGCTGATAAAATTCCTATGAAACGATAATGTGACGCGCTATTAATATTTTTCCTAAAGTGTCAATGATGGTTTATCTGCACCACAGAGAATTTCACAAACTGGCATCTGTAAGAGATCGGGAACAAAGATTGGAACTGAAGAATCCCATACAGTCACAATGTCTCACCTCATGCTGCACTCAGCCGTGGGGTCATGGCTCTGGGTGCGATCAATGTGACCTCTATGGAACGGATATGTAGTTGAAACGAGTGACGTCGTAACTGACGGATTCTTCCGTGTTGAACGTACCGTTTATGGCTCTTGTTGAAGATGTTGTTCTGGGGTAGACAATACATTTAGCTAGACTGCAGCTGTCAGGCACACGCAGTAGAATCATTCATCTGCGTGTGTAGTGAGGTTCTATGCCTGAGCAGCCCAAGATTGAGGAGGAAATTAATCGGGACTGGGCCAGACTAAGAATAGTTCCTCTTTTATTAAGGGAGGGTGCTGAGAAACGGCTTCACACCCTTATTAGGTTGCCGGAATTCCATAACCCCTATTCCCGATAGGGTTTACAAAGGATGTGACTGAAGCAACCTTCCTGGATTATTTGTTGAACAAAATACAAATACAAGAAATGACAAAAGTCTTTATTGGTGTCTCCCTTTTGGTGTCGTGCATGAATTCACTACTTTTATCGGTTGTAAGTAATATCGTTAAATATTACAATTAATCGCTTAAACATTAAAAAAAAATTGACGACAGTATACAATGATACATCCAGCTTCAAAAGCTGCATTGCTCCAAAATGTACGTATGAAACTTACAAAACATCGACACAAGGACGTAAAGTGCTCCAAAAAACAGCTATTTGATGTACATTCTCAAAAATGCCCTTGTGCAATGGCTCCACTTCTAATATTTCACTACTTCGCATCCTCAAAAATCACTCCGAATTCAGTGATCTTTCTTATTTCTCTCTCACGCGCTTCTTCTATAATCATCTGGAACTGTTGTCCTCTACCATCTTGCACCGGTGCAATGATGCTACCACCGTCTTCTAAAACGCAACACAACTCGACCGGTAACGCATCGATGGCTCCGCAGTAGATGATTGCATGGAACTGACGGTTTCTCCCAGAGGAGGATAAAATCACATCTGCATCTTCCACGTCGCTAACCAAACGCCATTCCATGGTGGACGCGAAGGGAGAGTTCTCTTGGACGCGCCGCTGACAAACATCCAGGATGTTCTTTTTGGATGACACGGTTACCACTTTGCCGTTGATACCCGCTATTTGTGCCACCAGAGAATTAATGTATCCG